CTTATATTATCCCTTAGTCTGGATATAAGAAATGTAAATCGTTTCAGGCAAATTTTGTAAGCCTGATGTTAAACTCAAGAGAAAACACTCGAAATATGGGAACTAACCAATGCTGACGTAGAACGACCGCTGATGAATTTTAGTTTCACAAGAATTATAGCTATGGGATATAAGCTGGTACCGCTAAGAATGGTGTAAAGAAGGAATAACCAAGCAATTGAACAAATCTGCGGCTTACTGACTTACCTACCTCCGTGGTTAGAACCAATAAAACCAATGTGAAATTCACTCTTCTATTATTCAGCCGATACAGACTTTATAAAAACGACAGGGAAAATACCTTAAAAACAATTATATTAGGCGTTTCACTAAGATTTTCGAGTTTGTCTTTCCCCACACGCACACATACAGACATAAAGTATGCATAAATTTAAGAGAATAGTTAAAGAGGACTTGTTTCATCCTGTTTTATCTGTACTTTGTTCACAATAGACTGAATTAAACGCATTCATCATTGAAAGACCTTCATTATTTTACCCTTAATTTCCACTCCTTTTTTCTTGAGTGTTTATTTTATTTGTTCAAAGCTTCATTGTCAGTTTGTTTTACTCCCTAATATTACAGATCTTTTTATTTCACAAAATTCTGACATAATTTGATTAGTGAAATATATAAATTTTTATGTTCTTTTTATTATTGTCAGAACCACCTTCGTTAACTTTTTTTATCAATATTTTCAGCTTAAGTAACCACATAATTTATCATTGGTACACAAGCCACTATTTGTCAAAAGTACTATATATATATATATATATATATATATATATATATATATATATATATATATATATATAATCCTGTGATACAAAATGACATTAGGTGCCTTAAACAGAAATGGCTATGCATAGTTGCAGTCTATGGCGATCTGCTCACAACACTTATCAGTTATATATGTATTCACGGATAAATAAATATAAACAAGTGAAAATAATTAACAAAGTCGACTTAATAAGTAATAATTAAAATAGTATTAATTCATCCAAATAATCAGTGACTGGTTTATTCGCTTGAAAGAACAAAGTGCATTATACGAAGCGGAAGTTAATATAACATGCTCAGCGGCTTTCTTTCAAAGCATCAGTGGTCATGAAAGCTAAATAAACCGTAGGATTAGGTAAATCTATACTTAAAATCAGCTTATAAAAGTTGCAGCATCCTCTTGATATACTATTCTCAACTCATATCTTGATAGAATCAAATAATGAGGATAAGATTTTGTGATTGTGTGATATAGAATTAAATTAAATTAAGACGAAAATAGTACAATAGATTTTATGCGAAAAATTTCAGTTCAGTAATGTCTGAAATCTAGTGAATTCTGATCACAAGAGATTTTGCTATATTGAAGCTGATGGATAGATAATCAAAAGCATGAAGCTTTCAACTCGCGAATCTGATGCTTGTTGACGGAATTCCTGGAAATCTTTCATTTATGCTTTCATTTTACATTCTGAGCTGCAAATCTTTCAGTTTGAAATAACTACGTTAGTACGATGTACCGGTCAGAAACTTGCACTGCGTATCACGTAAAGGATTTCCTACAAGTTATATACTTATCAACAGCTGCCTTCGCTGGCTTCCCAATAAACATCAAATGGCCTACCAGGAAGAATTAGCATCAACAAACTCTAGCAGCAAACCAACTAAGAACCAATCGTTCAACAAATATGTAGAGGAAAATGGACATGGATTGGGCACACATTGAAGAAACTGTCCAGTGACATCGCGCGCATTACAGGCCATCGCTTGAGTGAAATCCCATTGGGAAAAGATGAGTGGGTCGTCAGTGTGACGATGACATGGAGGAGATTGTACAAGGAGGAGATAAGAGATTATAGTCAATCAAGAATGCAGCTGAAGAGGAGAGCAGATAATAGGAGAAAACTGAGATGTGCTGTTGAAGCCCTATGTTCTACTCGGAACCCTAGGGAATAATAATAATAATAATAACATTAGTAAGATCAGGCTGAAAAAGTTGAGGGCATTCAGCTGAACTACCGAAATTTCCGACTATCACACGCAACATGGTTGGTTGGTTTTTACCAGATGACAGAATTTCTCCGGCCCTTAGAAGAGATTACTGAATTCTGAATGACAGCTTAAATTCATCACAATTACACGATTGTGTATCGTTGTTATTGATGTTGAGCTGTTGAGATATTACTACTGACTGAGACTAAGACTAAATTATCAACAACCCTGCCATTTACTTTATTCTACTTTAAATCCTATTTGATGTGTTTTTTTCTTTCTGCACTGTTGCATACTTACACCTGACTTAAGATTTCAAAACTGATTATTTTCGCAAGTGATCACCTGTTAACATTATATCACTGTTAGTTTAAAACTTTCTTATTTTTACTCCATGTCAACTGATATTTTACTCAATTATTTCTACAGTAAAAAAGTAATAAGAAAGAATAACCGATGTAATTCCATATTAGATAAGTTTATTTGTAAATATCACGCAGTGATGCAGTACTAACAACTAGATAACTTTTCGAGCATAAATTGTTACCACTTGTAATGATATCAGTTTTAACCACATAGTTTCATAATTGGTCTTATTTATATATTTTCTCTTTTTCTGTCTCTCCAACTTCTCTTTTTTATTTGTTGCCACTTTCCATATCCCTGATATAGGCGTTGCATCATTTCAAATGAACGTGTGTAGTGTTGAATAGATAAACAAAGCTTCAGTGATTAACCTTTCTCTGTTTCCCCCTAACTATACTACTTTTAATCCCGGTGGGTGCGTAATGCTGAGGAGTCCCAAACTAGGACGAAACAGCTGTCCAGTACTCCCTGCAGGTTTTCCAATGGTTTTCTAACTGGTGTCAGCTCATGATTAAATCCTCCATGCAATCAAACAAAATCCCTACAAAAACCAATACTTGAAAATTAATCTGATGCTCACTAGTGACTGGCCCTATTCAGGCAGTTAACCTGGGTTCTAGTGGGAAACAGTGACCAGTAAGGTACAGCAGGTTGAAGATGAGGCAGTAACTCATCGAAGAAGACATTGCGAAGTGGTCGCGCTATGTCGTGAATTGGCAGAAGTTAGAATTCAAGGACCATTGGATCGGGTCCCAGTGGCTCAATGGTCTACGAGTTCGAATCCCGGTGGGTGCGTAATAATGAAGAGTCCCAAACTAGGACGAAACAGCTGTCCAGTACTCCCTGCAGGTTTTCCAGTGGTTCTCTAACTGATGTCAGCTCATGATCAAGTCCTCCATACTTTTTAATGCTCACACCCTTTCTCACCGTTTTGTGATAACATACAATGGCGGAGACTTTTTCTAGGTTATTAAACTTAGCAGGGTCAATAATTCTAGGTCTAGTTAAATTTTTATGTTCCGATAGTCTAGTTGACCCTGATCTACTAGTTTGACCTATGTAATTGACCTCACAGTCAATGCATGGTATTTGGTAAATTATATTACTTTTCTTAATTGGATCTATTGGGTCCTTAAGCCGACAAGTTTGTCTCTGAGAGAGTTGTTTGGTTTAAAAATCCCACTTAATGTCTCTGACGTTCCTTCTTTATACAGCAGTGTTACAGAGGCTTTGAATTCTATATTATCTTCGTCATTTGTATTGCTAATCTTAGTTTTTCTATAGTTCTTCATATATTTCTGAATAAATTCTGGTGGGTAGTTATTCACTAGTAATGCCTCCCATGAAGACCAGAGTGCTGACAAATAATATCGACAGTTCCGTTAATTGAGATTCTTGTGAACAGGGATGTCACACCAAATGAACTTATTGAAAGCGTATGTAGGGTTCAGGCTTTGAGCGAAAGGAAATGAATCTTTCACATTGCTCACAGCTTAACCGTTGACGAATAGGCTCCAACCTCTCTGTAAGCCAACGTGCATCTTTGTAATAAAGCGAGTTGATCATAGAAAGTATAGGTCTGATGGAACATTTTTTTGTGTACTTCCTGCAGGCCATACATGTGTAAGACAAGGAAACCTTCGGGGATTTAAGTCATTGCATCGGTGGCATAGCGGTTAGGACGCTCGCCGACCATGCACATGGTCCGGAGTTCGATCCCCGGCCACAGATGCACTCCTTTACCTTGCTAAGCCAGAAATATTCCTGGTGAAGAGGAAAGGTTGGGCATGAGGCTAGCAACCCCACCCTGTAAAATAAACACTTCTACAGAAACTTCAAGCCACTAGCTTGAAGCCGTGTGTTCCACTGGGGAACGTGAAGGGACAAAAAAATGCCTCCCATATTTGTTTGATTTTGACATTTAAATCTTCTGGTCTACAAGCTAGGCTCTTGACTCGATTATAAAGACATTTGACTAAACCTATCTTAACCGATTCTGGATGAGATTAATTAAAGTCGAAGTGTTTATAAAAGTGTATCAGTCTCCTACTAATGTTACCACCTAAACCACCATCTTGTTTTCATTTTATTCTACAGTCTAGCATAGCCAACTCGCTCTGTTCATTTTCTAACTCCGGAGTAAATTGAATTTCATCTACTATTGAGTTTATATGCATTAAGAACTGAGGGGGATGTTCAGATTTCAACACGGTGAATATGTTACCTACATATCTCCACCATAACCTAGGAGCTGGATTTTATATGGAATTACATTCTACCACAGGGCACAAATTCTACACTTACATTAATAAATGATATAGTGTAGACAGTAAAGATAAAGACAACAACTATGATTATGTAATAGCCTTGATTGATAATTGATATGTCACGAAATGAACATGTCTGTAGCAATATACTGCATTACAAAATTTAGACACAGATTAACCAGAAATGTCTGTTTTGTTTAAATATAAAATATTAGTTCACATTTCACACCAAGTCATGCATATGTACAACAAGAGATAAACACATATCGTTCAATATTGACAAATAAGTGAAAAATAATAATTAAAAAAAGACATTCAAGTTAAGTATCATAAGTATCATGCCAAACTGAAATGTTCCTTCAATCGAAATAGAAGGTTTTGCAAATCACTGTGGTTCGGAAATAAGCGCAGCGACGTTTTTGCCAACTCAAAAGTTGTGTGCATTTCACCAAGCTGGTAGAGATATAAGGATGTGTTGCATGAAAAAATAGAGAAAGAAAATGGTAACAAATAGTTAAATAATTGGGCATTACGCTTACACTTTACGTTAAGTTTTCAACTGAGAACATTTCTAAGAAAAAAAACTTAAAACCTGTACAGTGCTACACAATCACGGATACAAAATTTACATATAGGAAATCAAAACAAGTGTTTCAGCGAAGAGACTCTTTTCAACGAATTTATCATCAAACTGTACAGCCGTATATATATATATATATATATATATATATATATATATATATATATATATATATATATATATATACGGTTTTTAAGAAGTTATATCCAGTGAGGAAATCGAATCATAGGTGTGAATGCATAAAATAATAATAATAATAGTAGTAGTATGAAATGCAATTAAAAACTAAAATGTTTGTGATTATAATCAAAAGTTAAATGTCAAGTGGCAAGACAATTAGTCCCCTTTATACATTTAGATAAAGCAATAAGAAGACGTAATTTGTCTGAATCATGTAATGTATTTGCGCAAAACATTTCGAACAATCTGATCACACACGGACTTGTCAAATTGTTCGAAATGTGTTGTCCAAGTACATTACACGATTCGGACAAATTACGTCTTCTTATTGCTTTATCTAAAAACAATTAATGTTATATATAGAATAATTCATAGGATGGATAGAACTTGAAAAAGATTGAGCAATTATAGGATTAGTAGACAAATCGAATAAAATAAAAACGTTACGTAACATTGTGTGAAATTCGATAGCATGTAATTTAACGTTGTAAAAAAGAATTGATTTAGAATGACAAGTTGAACGAGTGAAATAATACCGGGATAGTTCAAAGTGAGAATAGTAATAGTAACAATTGACGTAATAAACGAGGAGTAAACAGAGTGAAGGAAAAAAAAATTCTTCGTGGTTACGAAGAGGTGGAAGTGGAACAATTAGAAGAGCGATCATTGAACATATTGTCAATAATGATTACCCTATCTCTATAGCCTCCACCTTTAAAGTTATCTACAAGGCAAAGAGTAATTTACCTAAATCTCTACGTACCTGACACATCTGTACTACTGAAGCTTTGGCTATCGAAACAGAAAAGCCAGATCTCTGTGTACACAAAAGGTTCGTTCAACCCCTACAACTTTCATGGTCTTAATCTCTCTATGCTAAAGTATGGTAATCCCCAATCATATTTTAGCTCTACCAATTTTTCATTTTGTCTATTCAATTCGTATATTCTTCCTTTATTACGTCAATTGTTACTATTACTATTCTCACTTTGAACTATCCCCGGTATTATTTCACTCGTTCAACTTGTCATTCTAAATCAATTCTTTTTTACAACGTTAAATTACATGCTATCGAATTTCACACAATGTTACGTAACGTTTTTATTTTATTCGATTTGTCTACTAATCCTATAATTGCTCAATCTTTTTCAAGTTCTATCCATCCTATGAATTATTCTATATATAACATTAATTGTTTTTAGATAAAGCAATAAGAAGACGTAATTTGTCCGAATCGTGTAATGTACTTGGACAACACATTTCGAACAATTTGACAAGTCCGTGTGTGATCAGATTGTTCGAAATGTTTTGCGCAAATACATTACATGATTCAGACAAATTACGTCTTCTTATTGCTTTATCTAAATGTATAAAGGGGACTAATTGTCTTGCCACTTGACATTTAACTTTTGATTATAATCACAAACATTTTAGTTTTTTAATTGCATTTCATACTACTACTATTATTATTATTATTTTATGCATTCACACCTATGATTCGATTTCCTCACTGGATATAACTTCTTAAAAACCGTATATATATATATATATATATATATATATATACGGCTGTACAGTTTGATGATAAATTCGTTGAAAAGAGTCTCTTCGGTGAATCACTTGTTTTGATTTTCTATATGTTACTATGGGAATTCTCCATGAGTTAGAAAATTTACAATCATCCAAACCAAATTATATATTGATAGAATTAAAAAGTATTAAAACCTGCAATAAGTCTACTGTAGTGCAGCGGTTAACTTGCTGTGATTTTGTCCATTATAACACTGTCATCTTCTTACTACACATTCAACAACAAATGAAGCCTAAATATTTATGATGTCGCTTAGTAAAATGTTTATTTAAAAATAAAATTATTAGTAGTGCAATATATTTATTCTGATTTTAAAGACCGATGCAATTCTAGAAGTAGGTTATTTTAAATAAACATTTCTAATTAATGGGAATTATACAAACTATTTTATCTGTGAGATAAGTTAATTCTTGATACCACAAAGGCAACACTAGAGATATCCAAACACTTTAAATATGAACTATTAATATTATTAGTACCTTTCCTCATATTAACAGCATATTTTCAAACTGAGAATAAGGCTTCAACAAGAATAATGAAATGTTAAATAAATTAATACCACTCATAATATTTCCTAACTGCAGTATTGTAAATTGTCATCACACAGCTTCTAATAAGATGAAATTGTGGATAAGAACTGTTCAAATGTCGTACAATAAGTGTTTGTTCCTAAAAGTGCTTTTTACACTAAGAAAAGATTCATATACAATTGGTGGATGGTGGCTAGCAGTGGAATCCAGTGGATTCCACTGCTAGCCACCATCCACCAATTGTATACAAATCAAATCCCCAGACATCGTCGAAGCATCTGCACAAGAAGCCGACATGTCAACCTGAGACCGAGCACGTCGGTCCAATCAATCGACGGGAAAATCAAAAATTCAATCGAAGAAAAGATTCAGTTCAGAGGAACATAATGATTGTGTAAGGACAATCTTACCGCCTGACTTTAAATCAGCAGGATACATCTCCAGTTATTCAGATGATTTCTGAAGAGCAGGCATAACTGTTTAAGGTAAACAAATAGCTTTCAGCTGCAAGTGTTTTGTGAATTTATAATTAATTGTAAATTTTATTACAGACCAACAATCAAGAATCTGAAACTGAGACTGAAAGTAAAAGTCCAGTACTCCCTGGTTTTCAGCGTTTGTCTAACTAATGTCAGCTCGTGACCAAGCTTGATACCAATCAAATTCCTACAAACCAACACTTCAAAATCAAGAATAAATTGTGGTGTAAACCGATGGCGAGCGTATTTCTTAAACATACTAGTTGACCGACTAAGAAAACCACGATCACTAATGGAATTTCTAGGCCCTTAATTTAGACGTTCATAATTTGAGAATAAAATTCACCAGGCCACAACTATACTAGTATGCATGCTGCTCCAAAGTGCCAGACGATTTAAATCTTTATTTCATGAATGAAATTTAACACATGTCTTAGTTATTTTGTATACGTGAAGTGAATAATCTTCAGATCTTCAGTACGTTTGACCATGCAGACGTAATATTATGGAAATCCAGCCTATGGTGCAATTTTATTACGCACCCAAAATTCAGACAAGAGTAAAAAGATGTTAGGAACATTAAATACACTCGGAAATGTGGATGTGTGTGGTAGCCAGGTCGAATGCACTACGGCGGGAAAATAAAATGAGTGAATTCTCTTCAGTAAAATAAATAAATAAAATATCAGAAGTGGCCTCTCATACAACTATAAAGTGTTAATAAATTAAATTGCATATTTTAGAAACAAATCTAGTAGGCTGAATAAAGTTTTTCCAACACTCAACTGCCTACTCTACTAACTCATCATTTCAGTGTATGTGTCCAACAGAAAATATATATATATATACTTTTCAGTTCCAAAATTATGTTCATCCGAGAAATATACAATTTTCGTTTTAACTAATTCTACTACTATTTCTTTATAGGTAATAAAACTTACAGAAACATATTTACAAATGTATTTAATTACGTAAATCAAATTTATATTTGAGAAAGTTAACATATTTAGATAAAAGATAGACAAAATCTAGTTTTCAGACCAGTATTGTCTGCAATTCTTTCTGTCAGCAATATATATATACAGAATGCCACTATTCACATCATTGACTGAAACAATGAACGTTTCATAAGTTTAAAAAAAAATTTCAATGACAGTGAAATTAAAAGCCTCACTGAGCAGCATATAGAGTAGCTATCATTTTTCTACGAAAAAATAACGTTAATTGTGAGATTTAATATTTTCTCTAATGCATAAAATGACACTGTAAAATCATTTTTTTTTTTGATAAAACTTACAAATTTGTGAGAGAAAAAAACAACTAATGGTCAGAATTTTACACATAAAAATAGTGAGTAGGCAGAAAAGTAAGTATTACAATCAACCATGCATTACAGCTTTATTCTGGCTATCATAATATATATTTAGTATATTATGCTATATGTAGTAGAATTGATGTGTACTTGTTGTAATGCTTTGCAGAGGGAGAGGTTCTACTGATAAAATCAACTTCATTAATGGGTTGAAATTGTATGTTGTCAGACAACAAATTCCTCATTTTTTCCTCATTTCTGAATTACACTAGCTTGAATATATGTCTGCATTTTAATGAGGTTTGTGAATCATAGTATTTCACTTTATAATATCCACCACTCCTGAATTCTAAGTATCTGCATACTGAGAATTCTAAGAACTTCATTTTCACAGCGTAATTCTATCATAGACTAACAACGTTAACATTATTATGCTGTAAGACTCAACTTTAATATTGCAATGACTGATAACCAAAAATAAAAAACAGGTGCATTCAGGTGAGACACAGTTGAGAGTATTTAATTGAATTTTAGATTTTCCCGTCGACTGATTGGATGGAAGTGTTCGGTCTCAGGTTGACATGTCAGCTTCTTGTGCAGATGCTTTGGCAATGCCTGATCATTTTGGCTAGTACTGGAATCCAGGATGCGCATTTCGTCCTATTTGGGACTCGTCATCTGGATGTACTTGCATTGTCCAGTGAGTGACGATGTTCCCACCGAGGCTCAAACCCAATGCCCATAGTTTGTCAACCTGAGACCCAGCACTTCCGTCCAATTAATCGACGGGAAAATCTAGAATTCAATTAAATAATTAACATGACCCGTTTTACAAAAGTTGACTGTCGTGCCCCAAGTGGTTTAGCGGATAACGCTTTGTTGTTTGGAACTATGGTCACTGGGTTCCAGCCTTGGTGATGACATCATCACTCACTGGGGAATGCAGATACATCCAGATGGCGAGTCCCAAATGGGATGAAATGAGCATCCTGGATTCCACTGCTAGTTACTATCCACTGATTAAATTACAATTAGGAGTGTTTTTCATCTATCCAAGGTAGTATTGTAGTGAAATGAAGATGACTGAGTTTCATTTAAATTTAACTTTTATAAAAATATCTTCATTATGGTGGTTAAAGATTTCCTCTAATTACTTTGGCTGTCTTTGTGAGTGTTTGTGAGAAAAGCAGACAGTCGCAATGTAAACAAGGTTGGTTATCATTGCATATATATTCTTTGTTCACATATATTTTAATTCCAATAAAATTTCAACAGGGATGACCACCTATAAATGTTTTACTAAAATTTGTCAGTTTTCTACAGGAACTTGTGACTGTATCTTATGTTCCAGAATTTTAGAAGACTTTTTAAAAAATTCGTATGTGGTCAGCTGCTCACACTACATTCAGTTTATCTCTAATCATCTGAATACTTTCGAGCGGAGAATAACATGGATCCATTTTTATTCAAGTGTTGGTTTGTAGGGATTTGATTGGTTACAAGATTTCATCATGAGCTGACATTAGTCAGGGAACCATTGGAAAACCTGGAAGTACTGGACATCTGTTTCGTCCTAGTTTGGGACCCTTCAGCAGTACGCACCCACCGGAGTTCGAACCTAGCACCTCCTGGTTACAAGGCGAGCTCGTATACCATTAAGCCACTGGGACCGGATCCAATAGCCCATGGTATACGAGCTCACCTTGTAACCAGAAGGTCCTGGCTTTGAACCCAGGTGGGTGCGTACTGATGAAGAGTCCCAAACTAGGATGAAACAGCTGTCCAGTACTCCCAGATTTTCCAATGGTTCTCTAACTAATGTCAGCTCATGATGAAATGGATCCATTTTATTTAGATAATTTTCATCAGTTGGAGTCTAAAAAGAATCTGCCGTTGGATTTTTAATTACGCTGGTGACTCATCCCGCAATAACTCTTTGTTTTCTTATTTTATTAACTTATCTTTTCAACACCCTCCTTTTTATGTTTGACTTGAATAAGAGATAATACTACTTGACCTCATAATATAACATCATCATCTTTCCATTTAACCTCTTGAACACCAAATTTTGGTCTTCTCTAATCCAAATATGTTACTGTTACCAATACTTTTGTTGCCACCCAAACAAAAAACTCATCAATTAATTTTCTAGAAATTTTTCCCCAACAAGATATATTTATACTTACACTTCAGCTTTGTTTGTTCTTTTTCTGCTAAAATTTACGAAATTCCTAGAGAGACGTCTCTCTCCTGAATCATTTAGATACTATCTTTTGGTATGGGGTTCAGGGAGACTTGTATACTGTTAAAATCCAATCCAGTTATACTAAGTAAAATGAACAGTGTTCCATCAAAAACGGTGCAATAAAAACTAATGGAGAAATAGTGACATTTAAAGCGACTTATTTTAAGATTTACGCAAAATATATTGTGGCGGAAATATCACTACAAAGGTGTATTACAATCTGAAGTTGTTACACCAGTAAAGTGCCTTTATTGGAAAACTTGTATTCTCTAATTTGAAAAATGGAATAAAAATCATGCACAAAAATGCTATACATTCGTTCATGACCAACAACTTTCCATTGCGAACTACAATTAAGTTCTCTAGGAAGTAAGAATTGCTACAACTCATGAAATTTCTAAAATAACTGTCTACAACCAACATTTGAGTGAAGTTTCTCAATAATAAACCCTACTAAACTCTTTTAGAGTGAATAAGCTTTTGAGTTAGAGATCATCTAAAACGTTACAGTCACTTGAACTTTTCTGATTATTCTGTAACAAGATTTTCCTCACATAGACTGAATGAAACCGAACCTGATCCGGAACACACACAGTACCAGTTAAGTGTTTAAAATCAGTGTCTTAATATGATATTTCGAAACTAATGAAAATTTTAATTTCATATATACTTTTACAATAAATGTTATATTTGATCGTAAATATAGCTGGGACCATCAACTCTCAGTTTAAGCTAGTTTCTACAGAGCAGTTAATAATGCATATATAAATAAGTATATTTAAATTTATAAGCATAAGTAAATAATACTACATAAAATAACGAATGAAATTACACAATTACAAAACCTACCTATTTTAACATTTAAGCTAAGGCTTTTTATTATGCAGTGATTGCAACTTAAAGCAATATCATAATTTTTCTACTCTAAGTTTCGATCTGAAAAACTAAAAATGTAACGACTGAATATCTGAAATCGGAAACACTTACTGTTTGAAGTACACTTTTGTCTAAAATTATAGCCTATAGAAGAGTAATAGACGCCTATTCTGAAGTTGTCAGTATACGTAGTGTTTGAATTCAAGTATTCAGGTTTCAGGGGTTACTTTAAATACTCTGATTTTAGAGATATTACGGTTGGTTCATCAGGCTTTCGAGTTAATATATAATTACATAATGACTTTCTAAATATGCTGGAGAAGAATTTAAGCTCAAATAAATTTCGAATTTCATTATTTTGAAAAATGTACGACTTTAATTCCCTGTATATAGCAAACTTACGGCTTCTGTTAGAAAAGTCAGATTATGATGCGGTTCAAACAAATCAGGCGTCAATTGACATGAAGTTCGGTATAGCTCTTTAGCCTACAGAATATAAAAACACTTAGTGTAAAATACATGTACCGACTGAATAAAAGTTTAGGATTCGTTTGATTTTTAAAAATTGGCCTCATAATTACTTATAAATAATGAAAATTAAAACCACTATTAAACCTATGATCAATTAATTCTTCACGCCTTAAACTGGCACTGTATACAACTGTCTTTTTATTTTCCATTTTTGTGGCTGCTTTTGACGGTTTATCAGTTTAAAACAGACATTCGCCATTAAACAGTAAATATGGATACTAGCAGTGTAGTCCCATAATCTGAGTCATCATTTAACCGCTTTATCATGATCTACCTTCGCTTCATATTGAAGAATAAATAGCTGAACAGAACGAATTAGTAACAAGGATCTCTGGCAAAAAACCTATCAAAAGCTGTTTGCTGAACAAAAATATAGCAGAAAACGGAGGTGGATGTGGTACACACTGAGAAAACCGTCGAATAAAAACGCGCGCCAGGCCCTCAACCGGAATCCTAATGGGTCATTCAAGGGTGATATGGAGAAGATCGTATTAGAGGGAGATGAGAGATTATGGACAATATTGGACCATGACAGAGAGGCCAGATGAAAATAGAACAAAGTGGAGATGTGTTGTTGAAGCCGTATATTCTACTAGGAACCCAAAGGAACAATAATAATTATAAGCAAATGTTTAGTACTAAAAATTATAACAATAATTTTCAGAAGTTATAATTTATAATTTCAGGATGCATTTAATTCGGAAAATAAAATGAGTTGAAAACTGTTTAAAAGAAACATGGAAAACTGGATGGCCAATTCATCCTAGTTTAGCATTCGTCAGTAGTACATACTCGTGAACACATCAAAGGCTGATCCTAAAACTATCAGCTTACAAGGTGAACACGTTATAACTAAGTCTATGGATTCGGGTTCAGTGAGGCATAAATTCCACACTTTTTTCGATTAGTAATATAATATCGCTGTATGTATGTATTATCAAGGACCCTTTAACTTAACGATTAATACAATAGTACATGAGCCTCCTGAACCAACAATATTAATAACTGAAATTCTCTCGCGATGTTCCGAAGCAACTTTATTCGTTACCATATAATCGACTTACTAATGTAGGTACAATTTTTCAAAGTGAATAATTTTCTAGTAGGCCTTTAAACCAGCAGTGTTTTAATAGACAAATGTTCTGAGACTATGTGTCACTGAACACGAAAGAGAAAAAAATGCAACTGTATGTGGGGAAGGAAACGCTAGAAGAGACAAATCAACAAACAATGAATGTACAGCCTAGATGATGACTTTGTCGAAAAGAAAATTTTCTTCGCTGCAATTGTCTTCTTATTAACTCCTATGAGACAATGAATGATACATGGAGGAACGGACGAGAATGTCAAATCGAGAATCGGGAAGGCGAGAAACACATTCATCAACCTGAAAACAATCTGGGAATCTTCATCACTCAGACAGTATCAACAACAAAATTCGGTCGGATTCTCAATACAAACTACGTCAAGTCAGTTCTTCTATACGGATCAGAAACTTGGCGGGCGGGTCACAACGAATATTTCCAACAGCCTGTTGCAGACGCTACCTTTATCAACCAACAACTGTCTTCTCTGGCCCTATACTGAAGATCAGATGGCCGGGCCGGAAAGAATCACCAACAAGAAACTATGGGAACAAACAAAACAAGAACTAATCGCCAACCAACAAATATGCAGGAGAAAGTGGGGATGGATTGGACACTAGCTGAGGAGGCCGCTGAGTGACATCGCGCGAGCGTCAGGTCATTGCTCGAGTGGAACTAGGCCGAAAGGGAAGCGGGGAGTGGGACGTCCAAGGGTGTCGTGTAGGCGATGGTGTGAAGAGGAGTTGAAACAGTGTGGACTAACTAACATGGATGGAGGTGAAAAGTACAGGAGAAGACAGAAGTGGCAAGTGGAAACGTGCAGTTGAAGCCGTATGTTCCACTAGGAAACCAAGGGAACAATAATAGTAAAGTTATAATAGAGTAAAAACGGCCTTGAAAATGAACTTGTCTTATAGATATTAAAGACCCATAGGTATCTTACAGAATTCTTCATAACTTTTCGACCAATGCTGTTTAATTCCCCTAGCTGTCATCATCTGTTTGACAAGTCAACTTCATATACATATCTCTTCTAGGCTTTAAGTTAACCAGTAATATAATAGAGGAAACTGATGGTCCAATAAGTTCTTACTGCATAGCTCAATTGATGAACATTTAAAAACATTTGTTACTGTTATGCTTAGATGCTTGATTATAAATAGATTTGATATTAACAGTTATGTATTACCATATTTATATTTCCAAGTTTATGCTCCAGTACTCCTAAATTATTATAGGCTTCTGAATGATGATTATCGTTTACAATAGCAATATGCAAACACTGATTCGCCATCTGTAAATCACCAATATTCTAAAAAAATAGTAATAAAAGGTAAAAACAGAGAACATTTTGATTTCCTACAAAAAATATATCTGATATTTGAAAGCACCAATATATCAAAATCTCCCAACAGTTAAGTATCATTAACCAGTAAATATAACATAACATAACATAACAATTTCGCTTTATTCCAGAAACAGTACTTGTGGTACAGTGTGGAATTTTCAGCACATATCTACAATATTGCATCTAATTTCATCGTACATTTAAAAAAGGAGTATTATAAAAAAATAAAATATATAAAAAAATAAAACCAAAAAATGAAACAGAAATAACCAAAAAAAATGCAAATAAAAATACCGAGTAAAAAAGAAGATCAACACAAATAATGAAAAAAAATATTTCAGTATTGGTTAGTGGACTGTGTATTTAGCCATACCAGTAGTGAACAATACTTTTGATATAATCCCTTCTGCTATTTAACTGTTATTATTCGTTACGTTCTTTGTGGAACATACGGCTTTAGTATAGGGCTTCGTTAACTCTATTCTCAGCCATATTTTATAGTTGGCTCCAAGACTGCCCACAAACTTTCATTTCCAACTCACATGATATCCTCCATGTCATTTTCTGATGCCTAACTAGTCGCTTCCTATACGGCTTCCTCCCGTGACGGTGATTGGTACACATTGTTGTTGGTCAAGTATCTTCACCGCTTATATTTTTTCTATGTTCACGTGAAGTCTTGTCTTCGTCACTTCTTTCACCAACTTGTTGGTTTTTGTCTGTAGATATCCAAGTTTGCGTGACATTATAGATAAATCAACCGTGAAGTTTAGATCTTCTAGAGTTTTGTTTTGTTTCAACGTATGCCTGCCTATTCAGTCCCAAAGGTCTGATGCTACATGCAGTGCACCAAAATCAGCAGTGTCATCGATGATAGTAGGCAGGCTTCTCTGAGCATTCTGTTGTGAATCACTTAATGCGTAACATCACTGTATAGCTGCTGGACAAGGCTGATAAATGTTTGTGGCATTGCACTCTGTATTGTTCTTGTAGTTCCAGAATTTCTTCCTTGTCGACGCCACTGAAGGCTTTTTCAAATGCGATGAAGCTGGATACAAAGTTAACGCCACTGTAGTTTCTGTTCAATGATGTTGCTTAATTTTTTCTGCGCATGAATTGTTTTTCCCACATCCAACTGGTCCCGGACGAATGTTTACATCCCGATCAGCTTTTAGTCTTTCCACAACTATGAAGTTTGATACTCTGGTTGTTGTGGACAAGAAAATGATGCCGTGCTATTTATAATTATAATTTAACCTTCTTTGGTCGTTCTTCAACCCAAAAAGTAAATACTTTTCTTTCCCATCGCTTCTCCTGCACTATTGATACGAGTATGGACTGTTTAACTACAGACGAATAAATGGTAATTTTATGAATTTTACCTTCGTCCACATGTTAAATTGTCACCCCTAGTTTCTTAGCTGGTGTGTAAATAGCCAAGGCATCTTTGAAATTCACTCACATTAAATTCAAATAACCATTTCTGATAAGAACTGTGTCCTTGATTAACATAAGAAACACTTCGCTAAGAAATCCGCTTGTCACCTCACTGCTGTAAGTTATTGCTGAAGGAGAACAATCTGACCTTCAAAATCGAAGTTCTGGAATGGATTAAGCCAGAAACACAATAACTGACAGGACGAGGGTTGAAAAGGCACTGTCTTTAAACATAGTTTCGGCCTTACACAACCTGACTTATCCCTTATTTTCAAATAAACCGTTAGAAGTATGTTCCAGAGTCATGTATTTTGTAATTTCAATTTCTAACGACTGTTACAGTAAGAGAAGAGAATAAGGGATTAGATATACCTAATCTTGGATTTCAACGTCGATTACAAGTTTTCTTTTCACCAATAAATACAATATAACATGCAAATTTTAATGTGTCAATCGTTTTCTTGCAGTTAACAGATTGAAAACCTTAGTTTTGACATATAAATTCCACTCAATAAAACATGATAAAATATTACATATTCTTTAAACTTCTCAGCAATGTTTTCAGACTACAAAAGTTTTAAATGAACTCAGACTTCATTAGACTTGCAATTGAAAATAGGTTTTAGTGTTTGGAGTTCATACTGAAGCTGTTGACAAAGTTAAAGCATCACGATCCACTGAGTACAAACTCACGAGTGCCCTTGAGCGGAACACTCGGGAAATGCAGTGGTTTCGGCTTAAAAATGACGCTTATTCACAAAAGAGATGTAGAACATAATGATAAAACATATTAAACAGGATATTTGTCTCTGAAATGACCTAAAAATAGCTCCTAATTATAATGAGGAGTATCAGTTTTTAAGTTAGACCAGTTTCTGTACCTATATTCACCAAGGCGATTGATGATGAGCTTTTTCTATGACCCATTTATGTTTCTAACCCTGTTTTAAAGTCTTCCTCAAAAGCCCTCGATTGATTTACTATGGTTTCCAGTAAGTGGATCGACGACTACGTACCAGGAAAATATGCATAATAAAACTAATTAAAATAAACAATACCAACTTCAAACTTGACGCTTATCGTAACCCTAACCCCAATCCTAATCGTAACGCTGATCCTACCCCTAACCACCTATTAACACATTGTACAAACAGTATTTAAAAACGTGATCGGGGTGAGATTTACTCCTTGATTCGTGAATGGCGTTCACATTGACTATATAATAACGGCAAGTCCCGTTATTCAACGACACGTATGGCTTCAGTGTTACTGGAGCTTTTGCACTCCTGGGCCGTTATATTTTAACTTCGTTTAGCTGTTTTCCTGAAAGACAATGAATGATAACTTCCTCATTAAGACATCCAGCTCAGATGACACAAATCATGATTGAATCATCCATCTAAGCTGCAAATATCCATCATTTCTGAAGAAATTACTTCTCACTCTACAAAGAATTATTATGATAAATTCCCTTTATGAGCAACTGAATCCACTTCATAAAAACAATTCCATTTTGACACAACAGCTTATTTATGCTTGAAAATAAGCATTGGGAAAAGAGCTATTGGTGTAAGTCGATTAGTGCTTCAAAAAATAAATAATAATAATAAATCAACTCAATCTAAAATTGCTTTGTTGATATTTATTTGGTAATTTGATAAAGTCAGAAGATGAAATACAATTCAGCTACCTTCAGATAAGAGATAGAATTAAAGTGTGATAAATAAACAAATCTAAGTTTGCATATACTACTAGTAATAAACTAATTTGACTTTCCAGTGTACAAATGTCAACAAAAAATACTTAAATAAATTTCACTGTGTAATGGTCAAATTATCACCAGTAGACTTCGTGAAATCTAGTAATGAACACAGTGTCTTTCATAAATATTTTTGTTATTTATTTCTAATGACCGCTTAATTCGATACCGTTTTGTTGACTGCTTGATTTGAGGAAAAACATTTTACTCACCTGTTTCGAAATCAAAATCATATTTACCTTGTTTTCACGTATTATTCCTTCTATGGCCTACATTTTGACGCTTATTTCTAATGTTTACGAGAGTATTAGATTGTTAGAACTTCTTATGAATTGACGGTATCAATCAACACAGTCATAAGACGAATTCAGTGTCTTTCGGTAGGAAGTAATTTATGGTATAGCCAATATACAAAGCATGTTTCACAGGGTCTGAATATGATGTGAAGAAGGAAGGTTAGAAACCATTTAAACTCATAACTTAATTTTAGGGAAGCACCTATAAGTCAAAGTGAAATTTAATGAATGAAATTAACTGACAGTCAACGATTTCTGGAAAATGAATTAAATCACATAATTCAAATGTTGGTTTGTGGGGATTTGGTTGGTTACATGATTTCATCATGAGCTGACATTGGTTAGAGAACTATTGGAAAACTGGGGAGCACTGGACAGCTGTTTCGTCCTCTGGCTTAATGGTTTACGAGCTCGCCTTGCAACTAGGAGGTGCTGAATTCGAACCCCGATAGGTGAGTACTGATGAAGAGTCCCAAACTAGGACGAAACAGCTGTCCAGTACTCCCAAGTTTTCCAATAGTTCTCTAACTGTTTTCAGCTCATGATGAAATCCTGTAATAAATCACATAAAATTTGTCGAATTTACAATAAAAACTACATTTCAAATACGTATCAGTACTGAAAACTTTCGATAGCAGTTTTACTACAACTACATTTTATATTGAAAATTGAATAACACCAACATTAAAACTTACAATTGCAACATGACTTAAATTGTAATAAACATCTGATGTATTAGTCGCATCACTTAATGCAACAGCTTGATTGAACATTGAAAAGCACAGATCATATTGATGAGTAAAAAAGGTACATAATCCCAGGTTATTATATAATTCTGATGATTCATATCCATAATGTAATATACGTCTGTCATTAAAGAAAAGTGTACGCATATACATACATTAGATATGTCACCAAACTTTGACAATAAAATAGTGTCAGACTGTAAACATGATAAGATGCCTATCCATTCGGAATAAGTTACTGTAACAGGTATATCTACTTTCTTCATCTTTTATCAATGAAAGAACTTTTTGATTCACTTTTTAATACTTTCATCCTATCCCACCCAGTTGTGGGATTGCACTGTATTACATTAAATTTTAAGGTAGTTTGTTACGATCTTCAGTTGTAATTTATGCTTCTTGGAAAATCTCAAGAGATACAAACTCCTGTGGATTGTATTTACCATAAGTTAATGAATCTTAGGAGAACTGCGACAAAAGTTGGGTGACATTTTCAAGTAGATTCAGAAATATGACGTCAAAGAGCACTTTATGTTTATTTATTAAGCAGTTTGTTAGTAAACTAAGCAATTCTATGAATACTTAACAAGGGAGGTAAAAGGTTACATGTTTTTAGTTCATTTCCTGCTTTCATGTTGATTGATTGGACAGAAGTGTTCTCCCTATACGTTGACATGTCGGCTCTTAGTATGGATGTTTAGACAAGGCCTGAGGATTAACTTGAAATAATTTGATGGATTATGACCAGTAGTGGAATCCAGTATGCGGATTTCATCCTGTTTTGGATTCGTAAGATGAATGTACTTGTATTCCTCAGTGAGTGGTGGTTTCCCCACTGAAATTCAAACCAAGTACCCATCATTCCAAACCTCGAAGTGTTGTCAACTGAACCACCGGGTTTGAGTCTCAGTGAGAAGACCATCAATCACTGGGAATCCAGGTACATCCAGATGACGGGTCCCAAATAGGACGAAATGTACATCCTGGATCCCATTGATAGCCATTATCTACCATATTGCTGGAAGCAAAAAGTGTTGCCGAAAACACCTTCACTGAATAATTTCTTATCTTCAGAAAAACTACCAGGAATATTTGGTTGGATCTTCCTATAATTATTGACATGTGAAAGCTAGTTGTGTAAGCGTTAAAGATCTGTTAAATGTGACATTTACACTTTGCACATTCGCTTAATAAGTTAACTAATCTATCTGTCTCGTGCTTAACCATCTGGTGAGACTGTCTGTCTTAGTTTTACAAATTTTGTTTGACTATATCCAAAACAGAAACTGATAGACCGAAACTCAGTCTAAGGGTGAATTGTATTTGTGGAATTTCGGGTTATTTAACAACACTGAACTATGTATGCATGAAGCACAGTCTATTCTACATGAACACCAGTTCATAAGAGTTACTGGTCACTTTCTCATATTTTGATTACTTGAAGAATGGTCAAAATGTGACTTTTTATTGTGAACTTTTCAAAGTTGAATTGAATCCCCACGAGTTCTTGAATCACAAAAACCACCGTTTAGATATATGCTACTGATAGAGTGTAAGTAGCTAAACGTTTACTAATGAAATAACATGCTGGGTCAAAAGGCACTCACCAATGTTCATTTCTTAGTACAGAGGTCACAAGAACACTGATGATTGTATGGAATAAAGTTTTGGAGTATGATAGTTAGCTTATGCATAAAACACTATTATTAAAACAAAGGCGATCTTTTGCTGTATATTCTAAATACCTTATCTGCTTTTAGGAGTTCTATAATAAAACGGAGAAGAGGAAAAGAAGTTAGGTAAATTTAAGAAATGTGTATTAGTCGGGCTGTAACCATGTTTATTAATTTCAGACTTACTTGTAATATTTTAGTGAGACTTCTGGTTGGTCTTCGTAGAAATAGTACATCGCAATAGATGCCAAACTTTCAACATTCATAGCGTCTATTTGAGATATTGTTTTGTAAAGGGCAACCGATTGTAAGCCCTTGTTTAACTTCTAGATAAATTGTATTTAAACAAAACCCTGCTTAACTTTTAGCCATGGAAACGTTTTTATGCAAGACACACTGTTATTTAACTTGATAAACTTCTCAAATAATCTGAAAGACTTATCACATCAGCTAGCATTTATAAATGCTAAAACTAGACATTATATTCTTTAGTGTAAATCAAACTACGAGGGTGCCGTAGTTACAGCAAATCCTGATTTAAAGCCTACGAACCTAGAAAAAACTGGGGATTCCCTTTTTTATCGAAGTGAAGACATTTTTTGTGGTTGGTTGAAAGTGAACTAAATTCACAAATAATTATTCAGTAATTAGCAAGGAGGAGATGGTAGATTATGGGCAATCGTGGGCCCAGCTGAAGAGGACGACAGAAGATAGGACAAAGTGAAGATGTGTTGTTGAAGTTCTTTGTTCCATTCGGAACTCAAGGAAATAATATTAATAATGTAATCGTTAGCAGGTCCCATAAAAGGTGACATCCTTATCAACAAAACATCTCTTAATGATTCTTTTGAAAGACTTTTCGTACAACTGTTTATTGACCGCCTCCGCAGAAAGAAAATAATTTACTCAGAATGCAGCTATTTCGTAAGATAGATATATAATCATTTATTCAAATAACGGCAATTAGAAAAACTAAGGCTTTCATAGAATAGTTTCGTGTCTCTCTCTTCTCTCAGCTATCGGCACATATAAGGCTAGAAAACTAAGCCCAATTATGCAGTGGAAGCTATTTCAAATTAAAGTAATTTGTCATAAAAAAAAACACTGACCTGATAAATTCGAGCTTTACCGGTTAAAAGATCAATGTCTTCAGGGAACTTCAACAATCCTTCATCGTATATATTGAGTGCACGAATGGGCTGATTAAAACGCATTGCAATAAGGGCAAAAAGAGTATAAGATTCTACGGATGGATTCTGTTCCAATGACATTTTTATAGAACATTCAGCTTCTCGTGTAAGACCTAAACTGTAAAAATATGCAAAGTACTTTTCTTATTCAGACGACTGATTACTTATTATACAGATCAATTTTATTTTGAAAAAAATCTATTAGCCTGTTATAACATTCTAACTTATCAGTGGAAAGCTTTCTCAGTATTTTCTAATAATAATAATAATAATCTAAATAATAATTTGCTTTATTCCACAACAGTATTTGCGATACAGAATGGAATTCTCAGCATTTTACTACAGTATTGCATCCAGTTATTACATTAACAGTTAATAAATTTCTAAATAGATTAAGGGTAATCTCAGTTAAAAACAAGTTAGAAATTAATCACACAACTTTGGTTACAAGCTATTCTTCTGACTCCACATATTACAGGAAGTTTACAATATGTTAGCCACGTTATCGTTCCAACCTGTTGTTAAAGGATATGAACCCCAAAAAAGCAAACATGCGGTAAAATCAAGTTAACTCATAATCTTTTATTGCATGTAGAACATACGCTGAACACACATTGATGTACACAAAGATTTTGAAACAGATCAAGTTGAATTTTGTAATAAGTTCTGTGTTTCTGTATTTGACTTTATCTGCTTTTAAGTCTTCATTTTCAACTCTAAAGATATTTAAAGAATTTCTTCAGTTTCTTAACATTAAGGCCTTGAATACTACACTCTGTTAAATTCAGCTTCCTTAAAACTCAACTTATGCGATTTTCATCAAGGAAAAAAACCCATTTTTCGTACAACACTTTCCATCCCAAGTTTTTCGATGGAAGTCATTTTGTGTATGGTGTGTTATTTATTCAATAAAGTAACTAAAAGCCGCAGTTTGCTAGGCAGTTTTACCTGACTTGCTATTACACCTGGCCACTGTGAAAGAAATACCCGCACACAATCACTTAGTTGACGAGCTTATTAACAAATTGACCAGGGAAGTCTAATTTCGAGTAAACAAATACATATGACTAAATTCGGTGCATACTATGTATTAACTGTCAGAAGTCTCCCTGTTTAAAACATTATATTATTCAACCATGTGTCAGATGCTGCGTAGTCAGTATCTACAATATCGACGAATTAATACTTCTACGTTCCCCTTCGCTCAGGCAAACTGGGAGGTGATCTCGCCATAGATAGAAAAAGGAATCTAATCCGTTCTCTCTCAACATGGGTGCGGAGAATTTGTAGTGAAGAAAGTGTTGATAATGTTATGTACTCGTTGCTAAATTATTGTTATGTACTGGTCGAGAATTTAATAGTCCTGACGCAAGAAGGCGGAAATCAGAAGACCATTAGGTTTGCGATGATACCTCTATTTTCCAAACACAAGGAGAATGCAATAAGTGGTATCACACCAAAGTAAGTAAGTCACACAAATTGTGAGAGCGAAATATATATGACCATCCAGACAAGGGTGTGAACAAATCAATAGACAGTCTTAACATGAATGGCTAATTATAATGAAGTATCGATCCATATATACATAGCAAAATATAGCAGACATGTCAACAATCACCATATATGGATATATGTCACCAAGCAACGGACTGTCAACAAACACTCATATTATATTATATATAATATAAGGGGAATATACATTGTTAAGGAGACAGGTTCATCAAAGTGAAATGGTCACAGACTAAGTGAGCAACCAGAAAGAGAGACCACCATACACACACACATATATATATATATGTGGATACATATCAGATAATGAACTCAAACAACTAAAAGAAACCGTGACAGAGAAGGGTATCCACTATGCTTCGTAGAGGCCATTAGCAAATTATGTGGAAGAAATACAGGGATTCATAGGGTAGCTAAAAAGGTGTTGCACCTAAACTTAGAATTTAGGAGTGACAGTGCGAATGAAATACTTAAAAATCGTCTGAGGAGACGATTGAGGAAAAGTTCTCTGCTGCCAGTTTACGAATAACCTATTCTAGCCATTCACTGATGTACCTTAGTATCAAGGAAATGTTACCTTGGTTGTCTAATTCCATGTGTGTTTATACGTTCAGCTGCTCTTGTAGAGCTAGGTACATAGGACATTCGTCGAGAAACATATCCCGCCACATTCGAGAGCACCTCCCAGTTCGGCTGAGCAAAGGAGAACGTAAAGGTATTGATTCGTCATTATTGCAACATATTATATTAATCGTCCGATAATGAGACTGAATTTGTCAAATTGTTTAGCTTGTCCCATACTTTTTGTATAATATGAATAGTACTATTTTCTTGTGTTAGTAATATATCTGTAACAATATAAATATTTCATATTGTTCATTTTTTAAATTTCGTTACGTTCCCAGTGAAGCAAAAGACTTCAAGCTTCAGTTTTGAAGTTTCCGTCGCCGTAGTGTTTACTTTTACGGGGTGAAGCGGCTAACCTTATCCCCAACCTTCCCTCCTTACCAGTCTTATAACCAGCTTAGGGAGGTAAAGGAGTGCGTCGGCATAGGATCGAGCCCCGGACCAAATGTTGTCTAAGTGTGTCTTATTATTTATCTGTTACTTCACTGTATCTTTTCCTCTTACATTTTCTGCCCAGTTATTGTAACCACACTAACGTTATATTAATAAAGTTAAACTATGCTTTTCAGAATGTAGAATCGAATTCTTCATTCAGAAATTAGACCGTATGTGATTAGAATTCACTGTAGTTTTTGTTGGAAATCAGGAATGTTCATATAACAGTATGTGTCCTGCTCATACCTATCAGTAGTATTTGGCATCCCGTTACTTCAAAGAGTACTTGACAATCCTCTCGTATATATCTATAGGTTAGTCATGCCGAATTGAATACTCCATTGTGGAATGTATAGATTCGGTAAACCTTTTTTATTATTTTTCTATGTGACTAGCCTATAATCTATTCGTTTAACTGAATACAATCAAACAATTTTGATTGCTGTAATAAACGAATACGGATAATTAATTCTGCTTAATTGTACATTTGAAAAACTCAGAGAAGCTTTTGAAATGAAAAAAGAGTAGGACAAAGCTGCCTATTATCGCCGATGATATATTTAATTGTGATGGACTGGATTATGCGGAAGACGGTGCGAGACGGGAGCGAGAAGACAGGAAAATGCTGGACCGACAAGAAGACTCTAGAAGATTTGGATTTCGCCGGTGATTTATTGTATGATGTGACACAAACTGAAAGACTTATCTGCGAAAACCAACAAACTGACAGAAGAACCAGAGAGTGAAGACAGGACTCGAAGTGAACATAGAGAAGACGGAGGTGATGAAGACAATCAATCAACAAGAACAACAACTACAACAACAAACAGCACCATTCACTGCCAGTAAGGGAAATTTGATAGAGGTAACTTCCGTCATTTATCTAGGAAGCATCGTTTCAACCACAGGCAGTCGGAACGGATGAAGATGTCAAAACTGGCCAGAATCGGAAGTGCAAGATATAGCTTCATCAATCTGAAATTGGTTTGGAAATCTTTTACACTCTCTGTCAGCACAAAGAGCAAGATTCAGATTTTCAACGCCGATATCAAATCAGCCCTTCCATATATGAATCAGGATTTTGCGCGTCACCAAAAGCATTTCCGATTTACCACTGCAGACTTTTGCCAAAATCTACCTTCACTGGCTTCATGTTGAATAACAAAAATGGCCAGAAAGAATAAGTAAAAAAGAAACCCTGGCAACAAACCAACCAAGAGATGATTGCTCAACAAATATGTAGGAGAAAAAAGGGAGATGGATCGGGCATACATTGAGAGGACAGTCGAATGACATTTTACTCGAGTTGAACCCAAATGAGAAACGCCAATCGGGTCGTGTAAGGGTGACATGGAGAAGATTATGCAGGTAGGAGATGAGAGATCATGGATAATCATGGGCTCAGCTGAAGAGGACAGCAGAAAATAAGACAATATGGAGATGTGTTTCCGAAGCCCTATGTTCTCCTGGAAACCCAAGCGAACAATAATAATAATAACATTCAGTAGATGTAACGAAACAATAACAAAATACTGTACTAAACACTAGTGAAAAGCTGAAAATTGCACTACTTAATAATTAAGAATAATAAGTTAATTAATTATTTTATTAAGTCGTATGCAAACACATGTTAATTGGTAAGTGTTTTAAAAACCTCCAATATTGAAACATGAAAATAAACTGCACAATTCCAGTGATTGGTGTAATCTCAGGGAGTAAATTCACTCTAGATGTTATTGCAAAGTTAAAACTAATCATTCTGTCTAAATATTCATTGCAAATATGCTTTCAACCCTTATAATAAATTAAGGCAAACAGAGTCATTTTTCTTCTCAAATAACTAAAGTGAATAAACATTTATTCTATGGTTTATGATCAACTTAAAAAAAATCAAAAAAACAGTGTCACCTACCAATACAAACAACGTGCTTGTTGTAACAACCACCACCAATTCGTTTGAACACTGTCACTGTGTGAAAAGGGATTATTGGATAACACTTCTGAGTTATAATCAATTAGTGTAAGTATCAACTGTACCTCGTTTTTGAATGTTGTTCTTGTCATTAAGATTGATAACCAATTTGACTAGATGGAGTGCTTCACGATATTCTTTTGTAATATAGAATAAGTAATCAAATAGTGAACAAGTAATTTCTGAATTTTTAGCATATTTTGCTAGATTTAAACGAATCCATTGAACAGGATCACTGTTTGAGTAACCTAATTGTAAGGAAGACTGATAACAAATGACTACATGAGTAAAACATTGAAAAAGAGAATTTGAACTAAGCAATCACGTCAATTTAATCAAACATTTATTACTTTGAAAAGCAACTTACAGAGACATATAAGGGTAAACTGAGAATGAAAAGAAAAGAAAATATTCCTGGGAGATTTAAGTAATAATTAGATCCTCCAAATATCAGCTATAATATAACCTTTAAATAAACATTGACGAATTATTATTATTATTGTTTCCTTGGGTTCCTAATGGAACATACGGCTTCAACTGCACGTTTCCACTTGCCACTTCTGTCTTCTCCTGTACTTTTCACCTGCATCCATGTTAGTTAGTCCACACTGTTTCAACTCCTCTTCACACCATCGCCTACACGACACCCTTGTACGTCCCACTCGCCGCTTCCCTTTCTGGTTCCGCTCGAGCAATGGCCTGACGCCCGCGTGATGTCACTCAGCGGCCTCCTCAGCGAGTGTCCATCCAATCCATTTCCACTTTCTCCTGCATATTTGTTGGTTGGCGATTAGTTCTTGTTTTGTTTGTTTGTTCCCATAGTTTCTTGTTGGTGATTCTTTCCGGCCCGACCATCTGATCTTCAGTATAGGGCCAGCGAAGACAGTTGTTGGTTGATAAAGGTAGCGTCTGCAACAGGCTGTTGGAAATATTCGTTGTGACCCGCCCGCCAAGTTTCTGATCCGTATAGAAGAACTGGCTTGACGTAGTTTGTATTGAGAATCCGACCGAATTTTGTTGTTGATACTGTCTGAGTGACGAAGATTCTCAGATTGTTTTCAGGTTGATGAATGTGTTTCTCGCCTTTCCGATTCTCGATTTGACATCCTCGTCCGTTCCTCCACTAGCTGAGACAATACTCCCTAGATCAGTGAGTGAATGAAGTCACTAGCCTCCTTCAAATCCCTCCCGTTGATGGTGACTGACGCTGGATGCTGCTGCTGTTGTTGTTGGTTATTTTTATATCCTCCATCTTGTTTGTGTTCACCTGGAGTCCTGTCTTCGCTGGCTGCTTCTTCGACTAGTTTGTTGGTTTTCGCTTGTAAGTTTTCGATGTTGTGTGACATCAAACATAAATCATCCACGCGCGAAATCCAGGTCTTCTAGGTTCTTCACGTCGGTTCAGGATATCCCTGTCTTCTCGTTTCCCATTGACGAATAGGTTCCGTTAGGCATCTATCTATGAACCATTTGATAAAAGCTCTGTTTTGGTTTCACTATTTTCTTCGTAAGTCCTAGAATATAGCTATCATGAAATAATAATTACGAAATTTTTTCAGGCTAATAGTCATTTATTTCGTCTATGTAGATTTATCTATTTTAAGGAGTTTGCGAATCAATAACTCACTCTTCGTAATAACATACGTATTCAAAACAGTCATAATTAGGGATTTTTTGTCAGTAAAATGGAGAAAACCCTACTTTATGAATAAGTACAAAGTATGAGAAGCACTTTCGCAGTGAGACCATAAGATATTAGCTTTCTATTTGCTCCTTGAACAATTAGACAACTATCAAATTACCTTAAATATTGTAAAAAAAAATTACAGTTCATAGCTAAATACACGTAACCGAATTTATTAAGTGTTTCTTGAATAATAACACAACTGCTAATTCTGATCCACTGAATGAAATCTTACATGTAACACGGCTAATTAAAAAATCCGATAGGCTTCTTGTTGACATAATATCAACTTGTAATACCGTTTCAGAAAACGGGCGAATCCCTTAAATTGGTGTAACAGAGAGGATTCATCTGAAAAATATATAATGCACAGTATAAGTATTAGTAAATTTACGACTAAATGGTTGATCGTTTCATATTATGGAAAGCCAAAGAGTACGATAATGATCAGCTTATTTTAATTTTAAAAAGACTAATAAACATTTGTGAGTTGTTTCTACTATTGTCTTAAATTGTATCCATTCATTCATTCGTAAAGTCTGTGAGTTTAAAATAATTGTCATCATTTGAAAGTGAATTCCGTAGACAGTGCGAATGCATCGAACCGTCACTGTCAGATTGTTCCAAATTAAATAACTTTCTGTCGGAAATTAGTCAGTTGTCTTCTTCAAACGATCTTAAGCTGAATCCGTCTAAATGTCAGGTAGTCAATTTCACTTTCAGACGAAAACGTGACCTACAACAACTAGCTAGCTCACATGGCCCCACTATCATTGCCGGCATAGAGGTTGAAAATACGGCTAATGTCAAGTACCTTGGCCTGAGTTTTTCCACCAATCTTTCCTGGTCCTCCCACATCTTGCTAGTCACTAGAAAGATGTTTCGTTTAACGTTTTACATTAGGAAATTTAGGCAGTCTGGCATAAAGCAGTCTTTGCTTTCTCAGTTTGTCAATTCTTGTATTCTACCCATCCCTCTTTACTGTTCCCCATTAATCTTTCCTGGACTACTTAAGGAAGACTTTGCTTCACTGAGAAGGGCACTAAAAGCCGTTAGTAGAGCAAGTGGGATATCGTTAAACTAACTGGTTAACACTATTGTGGATAGACATATAATGTCATGTAAGAAACTAGTGAATACAGTATTTTCAGACCCCCAGAATCCTCTCTATACGCATCTGTCTCCTTGCATTTCATCTGGTAGAACTAGAAGCAGCTATAGGAGACTGGCTATATGCTAGGACTACCAAATACAAAACTCCACAATACCATATCTGGTACAACTGTTATGTGATGAGAAATCCGTTAGGTATGACACGATCAACTTACTGCGTCAATCTAACAAATAGTCCCATTGATTTTTGTTTTCCTTTCCTCGTTACTATTACACTGTTGTTCTCATCTTCTATTACACATTAATTTTATATTTCATATCCTGTGGTGCATTGTTTAAAATGTAAACGCAACGCTGTTCTTTTTATTTATCTACTTTTTTTGGCTGTTGCTTTTTGATTTTAAAATCTTATAAAATTTATGAGGTAATTAGATGCAATATTGTAATGCACGCTAAAAATTCCATGCCTGTATTACAAATACTGGTTGGAATAAAGCTGTTATTATTATTGTGGATGCCGATAAACAAGTTCACAACTTTTAGAAGATTTCCCCTTAATATTCAGGTGTCAAAACAGGGTAAAATCCCAATTTTATTTACATAAGTCTAAATAACTTCTACAAGTTGACTGTAGTAATCAGTCATGGAACAAACAACACGAACTAAAATAAGCCTTGAAAATGCTACAGTCAATGACATGTGACAGTTATCACAAATGCATTTCAGAAGAAACAGAACTGTTTGAAGATCTAGCAATTACATATGGTTATTTTTTGTCAAAACCTCACTAAAATTATACTTAGAAGAATGAAATTATTGTGCACATAGTAATTAAATAGCGAATTATCAATATGATAGTCCTTAATTAAATTAATTTTGACTGGTTTGTTTAGTCATCCTAAGAAATAAATTAAAATCTTAGGTTGTTACCTTTTCTGTAGTGATATCTTAATAATAATTGATATCTCAATAATAACTTGGTGTATGGATAAAAGCAGAAATCAGTGGACTTTAATATTCGGCGATGATTGAAACAGATACGTAAATGTAAAGGTAGTTTAACTCTGTCCTAGTAAATACTTTTTTCAGAAAATTCTATCAGCACGTCATATGTTTTGTTGTGAATTTATTGGGTTTCTGTGGGGAGATGGTAAAATTTAACTCCCTGTTGTACTTTATAAATAGCTGATTGCATTGTATCGATTGGTAGTTTTGTACCTTTGAAATATAAACGTAACCTCGTAAAGTGTCTGGTTCATAGAGCTAGGTTAATCTCAATGAGGAGCTTAATGTTATTAAAGAATTACTTAGAAAAAAATGGTTATCCAGATAAATTAATTGAGAAAAATATAAATTCAGCTCCAAGGAGAGTCAGGATGGCAACAGTTCCGAAAAAACCAGTGTTCATAAAACTGCAGTTCCTCGGTGACATCAGCGAAATAATAACACAGCTCCTGAAGAATACAGCTAAAAGAGCCTATTATGCAGCAGAGGCATGTTGTCTCTTCAAAACCACCCCTATTTTATGTTCGAGAAATAAGGATAAACTACCTGAATTCGCCTCTTCTATATGTATCTACCAGTTTGACTGCAGCTGCGGAGCCAGCTATATTGGGCGTACAATTAAGCAGATTCATCAACGTATTTCCGAATATCATTCAACATGGTTAAGCAAGGGACAAACAAGATCTATTCGTAGCTCTATTGTAGCACACCTTGTAGATAGTGAGCATAAGGTTGACGTTATTACTCCATTTAAAATTATTTATCGCATTTCTACTAATCTTAATTTTGCTCTACGAGTTCGTCTTCTACATACAGCTGAAGCAATAGGAATCCACCTGAAGAAGCCAAACTTGTGTGTTCAGAAGAAATTTGTACAGCCACTTTTCTTACCTTGGCCATCGTTACATGAGTGCATAAACCGAACTACTTCGCTCCCCTCCCCCTAGACCTTTAAAATTATAATTGTCAAAATTATTTTATTTATTTTGACCACTTCATCTTTAATTTACGTGTTATTCTTGTAAAATTACTTTATTCCACCCATTTCTACCGTTTAAATATGCATTGATTTTCTTCGTTAATTATCAATCCATTGACATTTTGACACTCACTAATTATTTCTAACAAACGTATCGCTACTTGATTGGTAAACTGTTGTGTATTGTAATAAAAATGCTATTTACATATTAGAGTAGAGCCAGAGATGAGGATCTAAGTGAAAAGTAAATATTTCTACTTCTGTTTTCTAGATTGCTAGTTTCCCCAAAGTGGTTTGAACTTATTCGGCTATTCGAGACGCGTCTCTGATAAGCCCGACTTCAAATGATAAAAACAGTTAACCAGTGTTTAGATCACTCAAATCTAACTGGTGATAGTTAGTTTTTGAAATGTATATTTTCCAGTCGCTGATGTTTATAAATGTGAACAAAGTTTGAAATGCTCTTAACGAATTCTTAGGCACTTTGTTCCATAGAATTAAGGTCATTTAATCTTTTAAATCGCAAGCAATTTAGTGAATTCATCATCTGCGATACTGTTTTCTTTTCATACAACAGATTACTTTATATGTATTGTTGCTCATAATGAGATGTAAACAAGCCTAACTTTGAAAAGTTCATGGTTTTATTTCGATAAATTAAAATAGTAAACTACTCACTGTTCGTTTTCCTTGATTTCTATTGTAATAAGTTGTCATAGGCCTTGATGTTCTACAAATAACTGTATCTACTGAACCTGAGCCTTTTTCAATCCATTCCAAGTTGTAAACACCAGTTAATGGTTTACTTGTCAAGTTAGACGGGCTAAATGAAAGACATTATGTTTCGTTATGTTTGTAACTCACCGCACAGCCTGACTCAAACCACTTGTAGCTTGTCTTGAATTTTTTGATGAGAAATGAGAATCATGAAGGCTGGTAGCATTTTCTTCGCAAAATGAGAAGTCAGGTAAGTTAGCTTCTGGATACATCTCATCATCGGTAAACAAATTTTCTGTAATCGTCTTCACATTCAAAAGCCAGCATGCCAACATACCAAAAGTAAATAAATTTAATTTGTGCTTACTTCGTTGCATGGCTTGCGCTTCAGAAGTTCTGTACAAATTTCACTACAGCCTTCGAAGTCACGGTCATAATATTTTTTTAAGGCTAAATACATCGGGTCCAGTGTAGAGTTTCCTCGCGAGATTAGCATAATTAATTGGGTCTACTGAATTCACAGTTTTCAAAATGAAGTCCGTAATAACATAAACTGGCGAATTAAGTGCTGAAATTTATCAGCCTTGCATGAATTTGTGACTTCCAAATAACCTTGCAGTGACTATTAATGCAAAATACACCAAACAAAAATACTAATTTAAAATGCGTATGTTGATAATGTGATTAAAAAAATCATATTTCTAAAAGAAATTTCAAAAAGCCATGAAATACAACCTTACTAAGAGTCCACTAAAATGAGAAGTTTCCTCATCAATAACAACCGGTATTCCAATTTTCTTTTATAAATATAAAGTCTATATTAATTTTTTGTAGCTAGAAATTCAAACTTCTTCAAACCAATCGATCATAAGTAGTGTTTAGTGCAAAAATATAGTAAACTGCCTAAACCGAAATAAACAGATAAATTCGTTTCCTAACAGAAGTATATGGGTCGCTGAAACCTTTCCATCGTTCCGACTAAAATTCACTTACTTCTTTAAAAGTTCAAATGAGATGCGGGCTGATTTACGTAAGCCCATAGCTTAAAAGCAATGTGCCTGAAGTCGATGACATGAAGGTCTTTCATAAGTGGACAAAAGCTTTGAAATTTTGACAACTGAAGGGTACTTATTTTAAAACGCAGACAGTGTTGACGTTATAGAGCATCAAAGAAACACGTGAATTAAATCGACCGTCAGCCATTTCGCCCTCAGTAGCAAATTTATTTATCAGTCATAATGAAGCGGAAAGAAGACATACTGAAGAGAGTTGAATTTTCAAGGTACAAGAGCGTGATTGTTGGATTGTTTTGTGAATCTTTATTGCTATATTTTCCTATACTCTCGTTAAATTAGGTGCCTACATCGCACCAGTCAGGATAAACAGTGAGCAAGTTGCTTAGCCGAAGCACAGGTCTAGAGGCATGGATACCAACACAACACTCATGAGCATTATTTCTGATTGAGGACAACAGGAAGATGAGCTCGAATTCCTTCAGTTAGCATAACTAATTACCTAAGGTACCAACTTGTAATCCCACTAAGCATATAAAGTTTGCTGGCCATCCAGTAGGGACATACTATTTCAGTCACATCTATCTTTACCTGCGGTACACCATCAACAGACTTATTCTATAGTGTAAGCACCTTGCATTATGATGACAACACTTTAGTATTGTCACTATGGTGAAACTTCTGGAAACAGTTTTTCAGCGAGCATAACCTCGTGCGTCATAACGAAATGCAAACCTGAACTGTGACATTTTGACACCTTACCTCATAAACTTTTATCACTCCCCGAACTAACCTGCATCTTTCCAATAATAACTTCATATGCTGACTTTAGTACTATTGTTCTCAAATAAAGTACTAAACCATCATTCCTAGTCTCTTGAAATCACGCCGCTAGCTTAAGTTTGAAGCTTACAATATTCAAGATCCAAACCAGCCAGCACAACAATAACCACTAGCTATACTGCTGGCAGCTGGAGCTATATATGCGCCGTTTAATTATCACACAGGATTCATGTATGCCAACATGACGTACCTAAATTTCCATCTCAATAAGGTAAATAAACTTCACAGATTATTTATCGGAACCTGCAAACGCAAATTTGGAGCAGATAAACTGAAATTTATCACACTAATTTCCCTAATCTATTCTTTTAGTGGATTTATCAAGCATTCTAGGCAAGGCATTTTGGAGTCCATTAGTAGCAATCAGTTTTGTCTTATTTGCAGAAGAAAATGTTGGCATACCCGTGAATTCTGAGTAATTTTTTCAGGTTACCAAAGTTTGTATATTAATGTAAATGGATGTGTTAACAGGCAGTAAAAGAGCAGTATACAAGTGCTTTGAGAGAAAGCTCTCCTGATACAAATTTACACGACTACATGTGACGGAGAACACGAAGTTTCCTAAAAAAAACAAGCAATAGTTCCCTGAATTCATTTTGAGTAATCAAGCTATTCCATTTCTCATCAATCAAGCCGGTGACTCTTAATCTCGTCAAATCAAATGAGGCACTCTACATCTTGAAGTTATGGCAGCAAATTAGAACAGCTAAAACACCAAACAGGCATCTGCGTAGTATTCTTTCATTAAAAGGGACCACAACAGCGCCAAACAGCCCAAATCACCAGTGAGTTGACTGTCCAGCCAGACCACGAAATAGGTCCGATTCATGAGAACTACAACAGTCATTTTCAAATTTGAGAGACATATCCCAATGACCAATCTCCATGATGCCTTGTGCTGATAGCGCCTGACTGTCCAGACTGAAAATTAGGTACCGAGGCCGATGAACTGCATATTATGCCATATTTAAGCAATTATGAGCATATATCAAGTGGCAGACTTTATGCAGTCCAGGAAGTTTATTTCAGGCTCAAAACCTCAAATGAGCGCAAAAAACCTGGATTTAGTGCACAAATTATTAGTGCGTCTTTTTAGCATGGCTAGAAATAAGACCACTTAGAGATGCTGGAAGCAGCTTTAAGAGACGAAAAGTACAAGGGGATATTTCTTAGTTGACATATTTAATTCTCACATCTTGTAGACTGCTAAAACGGTTGGCTGCCTTCAAAGTGATCCGAAGTTATTATTTAAAGTCATAATGCACAATGTTCTAAATCTGAAGTGGGTTTCAAGTTATCATTCCAGGGGAATTCGACAAAGTCCAGCATTGTGTCTTATGCCTTTTATAAAATAATTAGATGTAAGGTTCATTAATGAAGTACTTATTTCTGTAGCTGTAATTATGACGCAGTCCTCCGGTCAGCTGATGAGGTCGAGAGAGTTGATGATATAATGGATAGGGCCGAAAAATCGTACTTTCATGATCTGAAAGATCATGTCGAAAGGCGTAACCTGAAGAAAGGAATTCAGGTAATATTGTGAAACACCTTTTTACTTTTTATAAGTCAGTGTTTAATCCACATGTAGTATTCATAACATTGATTTTTATTTCTAGGCAAACGGAAAAGATACCAAGAGATATAACAGTGGCAGTTATTTAAGAAAAGTTTTCCAAATGTAAATACTGAAAATGTGATAAGCACAATTTTTTCTCAACTAATCTTTTATTTTGCTTATTTACAGGATGCCATCAGTGGACCTCACTTGACGGCCCAAACTTACTATAGTGCTGAATTAAATCTCACCAGTTCTGAAATAATTCTAACATCCTATATACTCACTAGTGAGTAAATTCTGAATCAGTTTTGAAATGATTTCATTAGTGGTACAGACTAGAACACAGTGCTGGTTTTCAGCATGACTGGCACTAGTTTATCACCATGTTCTTTTTCTAGGCATTTTCGGAAGTAGGTCAGAACCAACTGGGTTTGCTTATCAGCGTTGTGCCAGCCTCGAGGCTGTACATATTAAGCACGACCAGCGTTATTTCAGAACACAGTGGGTAAATAAAATCTTCATTTACCATAAAATGAAGAATATGTTAGAATAAGTTTAGATTTGTTGTGAGCTTAAACTTATGTATAATAAAAATTTCATAAAGTTGTTTATGAATTTTTATTCATGCTGACCTACTTTGCAAAAGAAATGGGATTACGGATATAGACAAACTATTTAAACATAGCGAATAATGCATGAACTGGTGTTTAGGCTAGTTTATTTAAGTCTATTTCATTGGTTTGAGGGAGCATGATAAAGTTTCAAATGAGAGGTATGGCAACTGTGTACATAGTTGAAATTATAAAACAAAACATAACAATTGGCTATGAATTATCAAGGTCATTTTATTTGTCAATATCTGCAGGACCAATATCTTGGAGGTTTCTTTTCAGGAACAAGAAACAATTTGCAGTGTTTTTAAGTTGATTCTCAATTATATCCAGTATCGTTTTTACTAGCTGATGTTAACCAATATCCAATATCCTGATGACGAGCTAGTATAAACCAGTGATTTCTTTGAGCTCGCTTCTTGATTGTGAGGTAGAGGTTCCAGATCTTCGGTGAGCTTCTGCGTAGTAAGTCCCGACACTCGACTGCTTTAGCTCTGGTAGACTCCAGGAGGAGTGGTGCGGGGATTGGTCGAGATGTGGTTTGTAGTATGCAGTATGTTAGGACTGTATTGCTGCCGTGAATGGAGTTTGACCTAACTCCCCTTGGTCATTCGGTGTAGTCATAAAAGCAGAATAGTAATAATAATAATAATAGGTTGTAGTGTAGATAATATAGGTTGAGATAAGTGGAATAATAAAGGTGACCTAAGGAAAAGATAGAGTGAGAGAAGGCAGAATAGGTCGTGGGGATTTAGTTAGTACGCTTATTCATTGACAGTTTGGTTTCAAATTTTATGAGGATAAGCCATTGAGACACAAACCTTGCATTTCTGCATGATTGTCTAGCTTCCGCTTAAAAATCTCCACAGATGGCGCTGTAGTCACGGCCGCCGGTAAAGCGTTCCAGAGACGGCAAACACGAAGCGAAAAGAAATGTGATCGCACTCGAGTCTTTGGTCTCTGGTGTGCTATCCTTAGCGGGTTACCTCGTGGAAGCCTATAATCGCTTAATGGCAGGATGCTTTTATTTGGGTGGGCCTGGTCATTTAGGATCTTGTAGACGGTGATGAGGTCTCCCCTGTGCCTACGGTAACTGAGTGTGAAAAGACCTAATTTCTTTAGTCTTTCCTCATATGATTTGTTGCGGAGGCCGATCACCCATTTTGTCGCTCGTCTCTGGACACTTTCTAGAATGTTAGCATCCCTTTTGAGTAGCGGAGGTGCAATGATATTATGCACCTCAAGGTGTGGCCTCACATATGCCTTGTATAGCCTTAAGAACAGTTCGGGAGTGAGAGCTCCCAGCTGCCTGTGCATAAAGTGTAATGTTGCGTAGGCTTTGGCGACGTCCC